AACACCACTAGTTACCCCTCTCCATTCTGAAAATTTACCACTTATTCCTACCCTTCGTTCCGTTCTTTTAACCAGTTCTCAATCCATGAAACTATCTTTCCTCTTATCCCATGACAGCTTAATTTACGTAAGAGCCTTCGGTGAGGGACCTTGTCAAAGGCTTTCTGGAAATCTAAGTACACTATGTCCACTGGATCGCCCTTGTCCACATGTTTGTTGATAAATTTCCCCTTTAAAAAGTACCAGTTATGTATGTTTGAAAGGCTTTCTCACCCCCCCCCCCCGTACCATTTTTTCTCTCTCTCAAAAAAAGAAAAGTGAATGTAATACTTATCAGAGGTGATAGTTGACTGCCCTTGTGGCTGAATTCCTCTCTTTGTCCACCAGTGACAGTAATAGTGTAAGCTTCCTGACACCACTTCATGGACAGGGTTGAGGCCTTAAGAGAAGAGAGGCTAGTTTGGTCTTTATGTTCATTCAGTACTTGGTTGCTATGCTGAGAATGTCAAAAATGATGTAAATTATATAAGGTTGGGTGTTGGTTCCATGAGGTACATATGTAACCACTAGGCCTTGGACTGAAACCAGTACTGCATTTCACAGAGCCTCTGTACAGTGGTCAGGGGTTAACATGTGGAACTGGGCTGGATGCCCATCGTAAATTAGGTGTGGAAAACTCTGTATTCTATTATTAGAGCCATCTGACCACCAAAATATTAACAATAAAGGTCTGAATTGTGCTGCTACAGCGTGTCCATTGACTTCAACAGGGTTTTCAGATGAAGTGAGAGCATAAGTTTGTTCATAGTGTTTTCAAGTAATGAAGAATGAGCCATTTGGTATTTCACATAGTTGGTTTAGCCAGGTAATAAGTAGTGCTCCCAAAGTGACTTGTCTTGGGGATATTTTTATTATCTCAATAGAATGTAGAGCATTGGTTCTCAAACTTATTTTTCGCAGACCACCTGAAAATTGCTGAAGGTCTTGACGGACCACTTAATGATCTTTCCAAATGTTGTTTGTACCGTTAGCTAACTATTGTAAAGCGCTTTGGATAAAAGCACTGTGTGTGTGTATATTATATAACTTCATAATTATTAATGTTTTTTTGTTCTACAAATAAAAGCGCACAACTCCTATTTTAATATCAGCAGTCTTAGCTTTCTAATGTGATGGATGTGCCCTGTCTCCCCCACCGTGGCAGCCCCCGAGCTGGGGCTGGGGAGGAGGGCCATCTCTCGCCGCAGCCCTGGAGCTGGGGAAAATCGCCTCTTTCTCTGACCGCCACTGCCCTGCATTTCCCAAATCCCTCCCCCCCCATTTCCTCCTCCCCCATTGCCCCCTCCCACCTACACCTTATTTCCCCAAGGCCACCACCTCACCTTACATGTGCATCTTTTCCAGTGTCCAGGCACCTAATTAGTGGAGCCGCGCCTGTGTGTCTCCACTAATGAGGTGGGTGGCCCTTCATTGTTCTGTGTGCGGCCGCCCAGGCGTGCACCTTAGAGGGAACTAACTGCAGACCACCTGAATGGAGCTCGCAGACCATGGGCCACAGTTTGAGAACCTCTGGTGTAGAGAAATATGAAATGACATTACTGCTATGTGCAGAGTAAGACTTCAGTACAAGTCTAATCTCAGGACAACAGACTTGTTCATTAAATAGCTGAGTATATGACAAACTTCTCATAAATTAAATGTGGCTTTATTTTTTTTATTGGAGTCAGATTGATGCGTGTATAACCTCTATTAAATGAGTGCAACAGAGAAGTGCAGGGTAGAAAAATGTCAGTTAATACAATAAAACTGAGGAATTTTCCCTGAAAGTTTGAAAATGTTGTTTTCTTTTAATCTCTACTTGACAATGGAAATATTGATTAAGGTGTTCTTCATTATTTCAGAAAGTATCAAGGATGTTATTGGGAGGAAGATTAAAATTTCAGTGAAGAAAAAAGTAAAGCTAGAAACCAAGGGAGATAAAGTGGATAACAAAATATTGGTAAGTACAGTATAGTAACTCTAATTAAAGTAGACAGACATTTAGGAGAATCTCATTTCAACTATTGTTAAGAAACTAATTCTCCCCATGGAAAATTTGTCCACGTGTACTCTGAACTGTCACTTGTTTTCTCTATTTTCTTGCCTTGTGTGTTTGAAAACTGTGCATATATCTCTAGGTTATTGGTCAGAACTTCCAATAAGTCATTCTTGTTGTGGTCTGACAAACTATTGTGTGAACATATCTCAAAATAAAGGGGACCGTTTGTGGATTCCTTGTGTTCCTTAAACTCTTGTGGACATCAGTGGGAATTCTGAGTGAGCAAGAAACAAAAGGTCAAACCTATAAAGAATTGTATCTCTTTTAAGAATTTTTAAACTGTGTCAAACACCCTGTTTCTCTTGAGGCTATGACACTGCCAAAGAGTGTAACACTAACACTGTCTAGTCTTTTAAGAGACTAATCTATTATTTGTATTTGTTTGTTTTGCATAGGTTGAGGATATTATAGTTAAAAGTAAATGTTCTTTGTATGTGACCCTATCATTATTTCTAAAACTGTCCAGGAGGAAAAAGTAAAGTTAATCTCATTCAAATATATTTTCCTGTTTTCTCAAGGCTAATATGTCTGTCCTTTTAGATAAGCAGAGAACTGTAGTAATGTGATGGTACTGGTACATATTCTGCCCTTGCATACTTGGATGTGTATTTAAAAAAAACAACAACAACAACCCATCACAACCCCTGGGCCTTCATTTGCCAGTGTGTTTGATACATGTATGTGGAGAGAAGCAGAGAAGGATAACGAAATACAAAGGACTGTAAGAACAGATTTAACAATTTTATTAAAGCTAATGTTAAAAAAATTATATAACACATAGGTTGGGAAAAGAGTGTCTGTACATCTGGGTATAGTGCTTAGATTATCCACAAATATAAATTTAGTTTTCAAAAGTCATATGATACATAGAGTACATAATCAGCAATAACCCAAATTTAGGTGACTAGATTTAACAATACAATTTAGATATTAGAATCCAAATACTCGGGTACATCACTCATGAAAAGTTTTACAGATATTTGGTTGTGGAAAGCAAAATATATCAATGAGAGGAGATTGTCCCTCAGTAATTGAGAATTAGGTAGGTTATCCATTTAGAAAATACAATCCAGGAGGAAAGTATTTGTTACTTTCTTGACTGCGCTTTACTACTATAATATTTTACAGGATATTTTGAAACAGGTTGCATTGTATCCGTAAAGCTGGCATAGATTTGGAAGTTTTGTTGCCAAGAGCAGGTTCTTATAGTTCTGTGACAAGAGGCACTGAGTTGGTATTATTTGTGTTTTGGAAACAAGTATTTCTTAAATCTAAATGTGTGAATAGTTTGCATTCTGTCTTCATAAAGTGTGTTGGTTATTCCTGGGCAGTATTGATGTTGATAATAGTCCACTTTTCTGTGAGAACAACTACTTAAGAAATTTGAAATATCTTCTGCGTAACATCTGTCCAAGGATCTTTTTATACGCAACTCTAGGGCCTACAATTTCTATTAGGTTGGGAATGTGAATGTTGATTGATAGCCACTATTTATTTGAAAGCCATATTTACAGAGCAGGCTGACAGATTCTTTGAAGCAGTAACATTTGATTGACTTTTGACTTACATAGAATAATTATTGTTATCAATAGCAGAATATACTGTGGAAATATTGTCCTACTGTTCAGGATTAATGGAAAATACTCTTAAAAATAATAGTGTTAAGATTAGCCTGGGTCTGCGTGAAGCAGGTTTTATATTTCTTTTTCCAAGTTTTGTGACTTCATGTATGAATTTTTTAAATTTTAAGTGTATAAACTTAAATTATGTCATGTCTGCACAGTGACCGTTTTTATCCACCTACACAAAGTACATGGCAGGAAAAGAATGTCAGGCTTTCAACTGTAAGGGAAATTTTGAAAGGACATGAGTAAAACTTCTAAAAATGTGATGACTCAGATAATTTTGTCTCTTTTGAAATCTAGTCTCCTCTCCGCTGGTGATTTTAATGTTTTATGACTGGCTACATCTACCCCTTTTATGAGTTACACAAGTGTATGAACATTTATATAAAAATATCTCATTCACTGCACAAGATGGACTGTGCTCTGGGGATGAACCACTGAAGGAAGCTGTTGTCTGTAGGACCCCAGCCTCGCTTCTCGCAGAATTTGGAAGGTGTGTACCCATTGCACACTGCCTAGAGGAACTCTGCTCAAAGGCATGAACAGAAAAAGGAGCTGATAAGGAGGTCTTGCGATGTGGTGGGGTTATGGATGGGGTATGCATAAATGAGGAGGTGGGGGGAGAAAGGCAGCCAGAACTGCATAAGAAGTTCTGGAGGAGCTGGAAGAGGGTCTTCAGCAGGGCTGGCTCCAGGCACCAGCCCCCAAGCATGTGTTTGGGGCGGCGCCTGGAGGGGGGCGGTGCGGTGGGGCCCCAGCCGGGCGCGCCGGCCGGTCGGGGAGAGTGGAGAGCCCCCGCCTGGCTCGCTGCCCTCCCCCTGGCGCGCTGGCCGGTTGGGGGCTCTCCACCTTCCCCCCGGTGCTCTGGCCGCCAGGGAGAGCGGAGAGCCCCGGCTGGGCTCGCTGCCCTCCCCCTGGCGCTCTGGCCGGTCGGGGATTGCGGGGCTGGGCTCGGCGCCCTCCCCTGCCGCACGTTGGGGGGGGGGGGGGAGGGAGAGGGGACAGGTAGCTTTTTTGCCTAGGGCAAAAAGCCAGAGCCGGCCCTGGCCTTCAGTCTGACATAAATCTAGGTAGGGTATGCCAGAGTCTCCTTCTTGCTGCAGAAAGAATAGGTGTTGGGGGAGTTTATGAACTGTGCCAGGTACATGGCCAAGATCATGGCTCCAAAGAGGAGCTGCCAACTAATATCCCTGGTGGGCCGTGGAACCACAGTGGAGTACAGGCTGGCCCACTGGAGTTCTCCCTCCTCAGGTGGCTGCAGGTCCCGCCACTTTGGTGTGAGGGTGGGACATGAGGGGCAAGGAAGTGGACGGTAGGAAGCATGAACACGTACAGATGTTTCCTAGGCATGGTTCGGAGATAGTCTGTCTGGATGTCATTCAGCCGACTTATTACTTATCGTGGGTGGCAGAGGAGGCTCACGGGGATCAGGGTTATGTATCTGTTGTGGTTTCTGGGAGACAGTGGGCCTAAGCCCACCCATAGCTAAAGACCCTTCCCTTTAACCAGCGAGGAGGTGCCAATGAACTCAGGCGACAACTGAATACTGGGGACAACAAATGAAAAAACAGTAATGGGAGTGAAGATCATAAGGTATAAATCAGGGATAGGTCCATCCAAAACTAAAAGCCTGCTCCCTCAGCCAAGGGGGCGGAACAACTGATACCAGGCTACTAGTGACTTCTCAGGACAACAAATAAAAATACAGCATCATTGGAAGTGAGGTCAAAGGTTATTAATGAGGGCTCCAGAGGGGGACACCAAGCAGAGAATCCCAGACAGCACCCACTGCTCCTCATAGGTGTCTAAGGAGTCAGTGGACTCTGTGTGGAGGCATGAATGGATAAGGGAACGGAAATAGGCCCCACAGAACACCTCTCCTCCCCCGTCCAGCTTCCTCTCCTGGTATGATGGATGGCTCACTTGGCCAGTATGAGAAGGAGGTTGACGAAGAGGTCTTGTGACTTTGGGGGGCCATGGATGGAGTGTGCTAGGACAGGAGCTGTGGGGAGAAAAACTGTCAGAACCTCAGTAAGCAGTTCTGGAGGAGCTGGACGAGGGGCTGTAACCTGATGCACTGTGTGGGGGTGTCCCTCTTGCTGCAGAAAGTAAAGTGTCGGGAGTTTATGAACCGTGCCAAGTACATGCCCGTGTTCTGTGAAGGAGCCACCACCACGTGATGTCACTGATGGGCCGTGGGACCAGAGTTGAGTGCAGACTGGGTCCCCTGGGGTTCTTTGCCCTCCTTTGGTGGCAACATGCTACTTGGTATCGGGGCAGGTCCTGAGGGCGGTAAAGTGAATAGTATGAAGCATGAGTGCATACAGATGTTTCCTGGACGTGGTTCGGAGGTGGACTGGCTGTTTGTCATTCAGCTGACTTAGGTTGCATGTCAGCGGTGGCCAGGGAGGCCCACAGCGATCAGGATTGTATAGGCAGAGGCTTGCAAAAAGAGAAAAGGTGGTCTTGTGGTTTGGGCAGTTTGCTGCCTGGGGAAACTGAATTCTATCCCTTCCTCAGCCACAGAGTTGCTGTGTGATGCTGGGCAAGTTACTAAAACCAAATTTTCCCCAGGTGATAACTAACGGTGTTCTTCTTTCTGAGATTTCATTTGCAGAAATTCTGATCACTCTGCAACCGAAATCAATGAGAGCTGTACCTTGAATATAAAAATCGCTATATAATGTTAAGTACTCTAAACAATCAGGTATTGGCCACCTCAAATTTGGTATCCAAAATTAATGGACATTTTATACCTTAATCTCTTTATGCTTCAGTTCTAATAGTGTGCAATGAGGAGAAAACAAAATATTAATAATAATAATAATGGAGATATCCCATCTCCTAGAACTGGAAGGGACCTTGAAAGGTCATCGAGTCCAGCCCCCTGCCTTCACTAGCAGGACCAAGTACTGATTTTGCCCCAGATTCCCAAGTGGCCCCCTCAAGGATTGAACTCACAACCCTGGGTTTAGCAGGCCAATGCTCAAACCACTGAGCTATCCCTCCCCCCACATTAATTGAGCACCATCCATCCTGTGCACTGAATGAGGCAGAGTCCAGTGGGAAAAAATATGTAATCATGAAATTAAAACTGTATCATAATATATAGGCACAAGGGGGCTGATTTAAGGGTGCACTTAATTCTGGCATTTCCTAACTTTGGAGTGCTTGACTTTGCAACCTTACCGCTCTCTTAGCATAGGTCTGTGTGCATTAAAACAGTGATGTTTAAAAATATATTAGCCAAGGGTTAACATATTTTGAAACACCACT